TTGTGGGGCGGGGTCATATGCTGGAGGGGGATAACTTTGGGATGCAGGTGTGGGTTAATCTTACAATTAGGCTGTAATGAACCAAGCTCATCTGAGGAATGTGATTTTGCTGGAGTTGGTTGCTCAGCAGCAGGATATCTCCCCTGGCTGAGTTATTGTGCAGTTTCTCAGCTGCAAAGCATCACCAAGTTCCCCTCCCTACAAGGGTTTCAGCAGCACCTGACTGTGGTGTCTCCACTCTGCTCCACCCTCTATTCCACCCCCCTTAGCAGGTGCCTATAGTCCCAGATCATGTGAATCGGGGATTATCATGAAAGAGGCTTTGAGCATGCCAACTGCATTCCACTCAGGGAGCAAAGATTGTGGTTTATCCTATAATTTCCATACCTAACTTCTGTTGGAATGTGGATATAACTTCTCAGTTTCCTCTAATTTCACAGCCAGTCATCTCTCCACAGGCCTCTTTAATGAAAGGTTACAGGAAGATCTCCCCAGAATCTTTTTTACTTCATAACCCAAATTCTCTCAGCCTGTCTTCTTAGGAAAGCTGCTCCAGGCCTCTGTGGCCCGCGTGGTGACCCACTTCTATAGGTCAATGGTTTTTGAGGATCCCAGAGTTAGATGCAGCACTCTAGGTGGGATCTCATCAGAGCATAGTAGAGGAACGAAATCACCTCCCATGACATGCTGGTCACGCTGCTTTTTATGGAGCCCAGGCTACAGTTGGCTTTCTGGGCTGCAAGCACCCATTGCTACCTCATGGCTTTTCATCCACAGCCATCCCAACCCTCTCTACTAAGCTGTTGTCAATCCCTTTCCCCTCAGCCCAAGTTGGTACCAGGGGTGTCCCCAACCAATGTGCAGGACCTTGCATTTGGCCTTGTTGAACTTGTTGTGAGCTCCCATGGACTCACATCTCAAGCTTGTTCAGGACCCTGGATGTGTCCCATACTTCAGGTGTGTCACCTGCAATGCTCAGCTTGGTGTTGTCTGCAAATTTGACAGATATAGTAAGTTAGAGCCAATTAATTTTCTGTTTTAAGGTTTAAAGTCACTTATGTGCCCTGGTGTATTGTAGGTTAATGATCGATATTGTAAAGTTTTAAAACCTATCAGTTCAAACAAGGAATTGAGTAAAACATTCTCCCCAAATAAATCCCCACTAAGCTACACTTTTGTTGGTTACAAGCTGAATTTCTATATATTTCTTGCAGTTATTTTTTCCAGTGGGAGTGACTTCTAGAATTTCAGTTAGGAATGAACTTTACATACAAAAAAAAATGTAAGCAGATTTTTTTTCAGTTAAGGAAGTTTTTTTTCTTCATTTAAACAATTTTCATAGCTCCATCAATGCAGAAAAATAAAAATACTATTTATTTTTAAGCATTTAGCCTAACAGCATGTTTGGAGTTCTTGAAGCCTTTTTGTCACAAACCAGTCACTCCAGTTCCTAATGTCAAAACTACCTATAGAAAAATTTGAAAATAGAAACACTTCTAAGGATGTACACATAACTCAGATCATATTTGTGGAATGGGGGGTAGCAGGGAAGGGTGGGCAAAGAAGAAAATCTGAACACAGGAATAAACAACATAACAGAATAATGTAAGTTAAATCAAAAATTGAAAGCACTCATACCCAGTTTAATGCCTAAATTTTGGGTTGAGTTGGAATTTTCTCCATGTACTATAAAAGGGGCAAAGAAATCTAGCACATGACCATCATTTTGCAAGCTGTTTTACCAAGCAATTGAAAACTATGGAGGAAAAAAAGAAAGGTTATGGTACCAGTATACCATGGAGGTGATTTCAATTAAGCTTTAAAAAATTGCTTAATGTTTGTGGAAAGTGCTGGCTTAAGCATCTCTAAGACTTGTCCTTCAATTATCCTCAAAATTATTCAGGCACAGTCTGGAAATAGCCATTCAGGTTCTGAATGCTATCTTGACAGCAATACCTTTTTCACTGCAGGTACAGAAAAGTCACTTTTCTAGAGGAAAAGAAAATGTAGTTTTCACAGCTACTGTCACAATTCCATCTCTGAGAACATATTTAAGTTAACATTTATCCACTAGAAATAAGGTTAGACTTCAGTGAACTTATTTGAAATTCTTTCTCACAGAATGGACTTAAGACATGCAAAGAAAGGAAATACAACAAATAGTGACTAGGTAGGTAAAAGGTTGAGTCTACTCAAGGAGAATTTCCAAATGGGTCCTCATGAAAAATACTCATAAAGGAGAAACAATCTTAAAAATTTGTATAGGTACAGTGGCAGAAAAAATGAGATCAAGGGAAATGTATGCCCACTTCTGATTGAGGTGGATGACATTCAGTGTCTTTGCTCTGGTTTTCACTTACAATATGTGCTTTTAAATTTCCCAAGTCCCATGCCAGGTGGCAAAATTTAGAGGAATGAAATACCATTAGTTGAAGAGAAATTCCAAACCAGGACCACAGGCAATGAGGGTATTTATAAATGTTCAAAGGACTTGACAAGATACATCCATGGAAGATGAGGGAGTAGGCCAATGTAACCAAATCATGATAAAGTGTAGGTAGCCTCATATAATACGGGCTTGCATTAGTAAAAGCATAGAAAGCAGGTGATCAGTTCCTTCTGCTCAGCACTTGATAAGCTACCTATGGAGTACTCTGAGGTGTAGAACTTCAATGTACAAAAAATAAGACTGACAGAATTGTAGCAAATCTAACAGAGAGCCATCAACATTGTGAAAACTTTGCAGCATATGAAGAAAGGCTGAAGGTTCTGTCTTAGGCCTTGAAAACAGAGAGCTGAATGGGGACATAATTTTTTTCTTCAGCTCCTTATTGGGTGATCATAAACAAGATGAAGCCATTTTTTTCTCAGAGGTACTGGTATGAGAGGCAACTGACAGAAGTTGCAACAAGGGAAATTATGGCTAGGAAGCAAGAAGAAATTTTTCATAACTGTAGTGTGAGTGTATTTAAGTGCTGCAACAAGTTGCCCATAAAGGCTGTGGAATTGTCATATATCCAATATCCTTGGAGATATTCAAACCTCAAGTAGAAAAGATCCTGAGCAACCAACTTGCATCTGAAGTTTGACCTGCTCTGAGCAAGGAATAGGACTCTATGGCCTTCAAAACCTCTCTTAACCTAAATAATTCTGGAGTCCAATGAATGTAAAATATATTGACTTAGAGGATAAATCATGTTTCTACAGGTTTGCCTGGGATAAGCTTCGTGAACTCATTAACAAACACAGACAAACCCATAGATTCAGTTACCTAAAACATGCCATCTTGTTTTTACCTCCTATTACCTTTAACATAGTAGTGTCATTCTTAATCAAACATAACATCAAGGACAGTACATAGCAGTGGAAAGTGTTCCTGGAGATCGAGGGGAAGACAATCAGCAAATGTCAGGGTTGTGTATGGGCACTGTCACAACACAGTGATGCAGGAATAAAAATGCAGAAAATACAAGGAAATATACTGCTGGAGAACATTCTATTCTTCCAGGCCTCGGAAGGTAAGTCACACTTATTCTGTAGGCTATCATGCTCCTTTGGAGATGGCAATCTACTTTAGTTGTCTGCTGTTTCAATCATTGAATGCAGAGATTCACAGTAAGGGATTCCCATCAGTGCAGCTCCCTTAAAGCCTTCACTTGACCACCCAAGTACTGTTCATTTTTACAAAGTATATATGTCAGATAGGGAATCAGAGATCACTGTAAAGGGAATGTTTAAAAGACTGAGAGGTAGGGCCTGTTTTAAACTTTGAACAAACTCGAATGAATTAATTCACAAACAGAATATTTAATGCTAGCAGTTTTCAAGATTGTTAGGCATTTTTAGTACCCCTATGTACTGTTACTCTGTAACATTTACAATCTAAATTCTCTGTGATCACACAATGCTGTGGAGTTGATGCCGAATAATTAGTGCTGACAGCTGTGGTCCCTGTTGCTACTTAACAACAAAGGTCAAGGTAATCTGTCTCATGAGCTCTTTGATGAGAGAAGTCATTACTGAATTGAGCTTGTCTTCTGTCTCCATCCTTCTTCTATAGATTTGATGGTCTGCATTATTTTATCTCCCCCCAAGCGCTCTCCCGCCCTTCAAAAAATGATGATCTCCTCCTGGTACTACTTGCCTTGGGGCTTTTTACAGTAATTTTTTTCTGTAGTCAGCAATATATTCTGCCTATTTTCTGTGCCTTAAGCTGGTCTTGTTCTTTGGCAACTTTTTTTTTACTTGTATGAGTCACTATAACACATCTATTTGTCTTTGGTGTTCACAAGTACACTTACTCATGTAAAATGTTTCTATATTGTGAATCTGGTATACCATTCCAGAGTTCTGAAATACTCACATACATACAAAAGGGCTATAGTCTTTTATTGCCCTTGGAATGGGATTCAAAGCAAGCTATATTAATTATATTTGATCAGAGCACTTGTATGAGTTTCACAGGATTCTACTGAGAAGCTAATATAATCTTCAGATCTCCCCCTTTCCTCTGAATAAGCAATTTTAGTTTATTTTATTTAACAGGTAGAGTGTGCATGTGTAACAGAAACCCTGTAGTATGTTTTCTGATTACTGGACTGTGAGAGTATTTGCCTTGCAAGCTTTGTTGTCATTCACCACCCAATTTCTCCCTCGTGTCTATCCCTCTAAAATCCTTTTTGGACACTCAGTCCTTCTGTTCCTGATGGTATTTTTTATCCCTCACAGCCAGTAATTATCTCACTATTTCCCCCAACTCATGCATCCTTTTTTTCCCCCAGTTTTTCAACAGATCTGGTAGATGAGTTTTGCCTCTCTTAACTGTTTTATCATCCACAAGTACAGGCATGAGGAATAGTCTCAGCTGAGTTCTACCACACTTTTACTCAGTAGTAAAATGCAAGACCCAAAGAATATTACACGAACTTTCACTTTGCATTTTCATTTTGGGTTTTCTGTGTTTGTTTTTTTTTGTTTGTTCATGTGTTTGTTATGTCTAGTGCCTCTGTGCACCTGGATGGACAGGAGAATTTTGCCAATTTGCTGAAAATGCATGTTTAATTTACCCAAATAATTGTTCTGACGGAGCAACTTGCATTGATGTGAGTCAACTGAGAGAAAAACCTTTGTTTCAGTGTTTGTGTCCTCGTGATTTTACAGGTAAGGCATATACAAATCATGTAGATACAAATAATCTAGTTTCATTTCCTTTTAAATATTCAAATGTATGTATGCTGGATTTTAAAAAAAAAGGATAAAGAAATAAAGAAGTATTTGGAGCGTAATCACAACTCTCTGCATTTTCTGCCCTCTGCTGTGATGCCTATAAAATCTGAATGGAATTTACAGGTTACTTTTGAATCTTCCAATTCAGGTTACACTAATAATATTCTTAGAATAAGCTTTAGCTTCAGTTTAAGAGACTAAGTGTATGTCTACATATAAAAGTTTTGCATGTGAGCTTCATGTCTGATATCTAATTAATGTTCCTGGATATCTAATTAATGAGAGAAATGGGATTCAGGAAGTTTGTTAGTTTTTATCTGCCTATATTTACTCAGATAACTTTACTCAGCTTTTGAGAGCTGAATTCCACCTACTATTTAAATACCTTAGTGAACCACCAGTGATTTATGAAATTTAATTTGATGTGGGATTAACTGATTCATTTTACTTAACTAAAGGCTAGTCTTTGAGGTTCTCTGTATTGTTAGTAAGTCAGTTTTTTAGAGGGGATTATAACCACTGTGTCAGATATTTGTTGGTGATTGACACAATTTCTTCAGCAATGTTTCTCTTTTAATTAGATACAAAAGAAGCCAAAAGAGTAGCTTATATTAAACACACTGGTGTTTTGGTTTTTTTAAGTGGCAAAGAAAATAATTTCTGATTTTTTTCCTCCACCCTTATCCTTTAAAAAGAAGCTCATTGAAATTGGATTCTGAAATCCTTCACTAATCTTTGTCTAGAGATGGAACTGAAAGAGAAGATTCAAACATGATTCACTGCAGGTTTAGATAATATTATGGAGAGAGACATGAGCAACATGTACATCAATTTAAAAATAAGTGCCAGAAATATTAAGAGAACTTTAAAAACAACAATATGAAATATAGGAACAATGTTTATTACCCAAAGAATGAAAATTAATCTAAAGTACAGATGTCAATACACGGAGAAAACAGATTTTAAATCTACTACCATTAAAAAAGAAATAATAGTTGAATAACCCAGAGTTTATTTATCAACGTTTCTTTTCACTTCTCCATTATTCCCTATAGGGTTTTATTTTTTAATTTATGCTTTACTTTTTAAAATTGGTGTGATGCCTATAATTATAAATTTGTGAATATAAGTAATGTTTCACTACAATACTTCAAAGCTTTTGAGATAATTTAAGGTTTCTAGTGTACAATATGATCATGAAACAAAAGTTCAATAGGTTGCAATAAATGGCAACAAATATATGCAATTAATAGAATTAAACATTGCCAAACACTGAGTCATGGCTGAATTCAAGTGGAAACAACTTTGTTGTTCAAGGGTATCTTTCTGTGAGGCCAAAATTCTATTTTTGTGAATTATCATTGTAAGGGGTTCTATATATTGCAATTGATTTTTTTCCACTTTTTCTACTTTTTTATAGCCAGTTACTTCTTCAGTCTTGATCCATAAAAAAAATTATTTTATACCTGTTCATTGTTTCATTTATGTATTTGGAAAGGAAAGGGAAATGTAGTAGCAATTTTTGTACATTTACTTGACTCTGAATTAAATAAGTTTCTGCAACCAGAAAAGCTATTGTAGTTTCATATCCATTGGCTCTTAATTGTGTTTTTAAATTATAAACACTACAGCTGCAGCTTTTGCGTTAACATTCAAATCACATTTGGATCAAACATCTTAGGGAACACAAAATATGACATGATGTAACATTCTCGGCTGTGAAAAGTAGAACTTTGATTTAAAAAGTAATAAACCCTCTTCAGTTTGGTTCCATACTCTTTAACAAAACCTTGTAGAAACTTGATGCATGGACATGCACGCGAGGGCATACGCGGCCCTAAGTCCGGCTAGCAGAAGGGGTGATACGGCCGACGCCCCTACGCATCCACTGCCAGCCCCCTTCAGCGTCTTTGGCTTCAGGCTGGGCTGGATGTTGAGCTCGGAGTTGCGCTAATTGAGACAGGCAAGGAGGCGACCACTTGCTGGGGGTGCAAAGTCGGTTTATTTGATGGACTGGAGGCACCAACAAGGGAAACGCCCACAGCAAATGGCCCCGATCAGCGGGAGAGAGACGGGATTTTAAAGGAGAGGGGAGGAGAAGGGAAGGAAGCCCAGCTATCCAATGAGAAAACCTAAAGGGAGGTGCTGAACATAATTGACATACA